CGAGGCGACCTACAAGACGTCGCATGCGATGATGGAAGCCACGTGCCCCGAGCAGTACGCCATGAAGACGCACGAGTGGCACTCATGGTACGCGTTGCAGGCAGTAGCACACATGACTGCATCGACATGTGCTAGGTACACGGCGAGAGAAGCCACAACACTGCAAACGGTGACGGTGTCGGCCAACGTTGGCTCGATCAAGGTCGCCCTCGTCTTTCCTAAAGTATCGACAAAAGGGCAGCTGGACCACATCTTGCTGCAGCTTGACAAGTGGCGCTACCAACTCGTTGCATACCCCATGCAAGCGGCGATGAAGCAGAGCTTTGCCATCGCACGCGTCGACGTGTTCCATTTTGTCTCGTCCGACACTATGCACAAGCAGTTCATCCAAGGCCCCAAGGTCACTAAGAGCCCAACGCTGACGCCGTTCCTGCAGCTGGAAACGAGCCACGCACCAAAGGAGCCACTGCAGATCAAGCTGCGCACCAGCGAAATGGACATCGTCCTCGACATTCCCGTCATCTTTCGCCACGTGCTGTCGATCATCGAAAAGATGCCCGAGATCACGTCCTTTATCACCCTTCTCAGTGGCCCTGTGTACACGGCCTTGACAGCGTACGCAGCGGAAGGCGCATCACCGACAGCGGCAGCAGCCACATCGGTGACGCCGTCGCCAACATCCTCACCGGCGTCGCCACCAGCCAAGAAGCGCAGCGACAGCATCTTTGGGAGCTTCCAGAAGATGTTTTCAGACGACGACGAGAAGTTGGCTGTGCCGCTGCCCCCAGCCCCGGCACTTGCAGACGACAAGGACCGCAGCGCTGAGGTCAGCATGAGCGTATGTACCTCTTCGATTATACTTTTGGAGCTAAAGCTCGTGACCCAGGTGGACATCGGGGCCGTCTACGTGTCGATTCCCAGCGTCAACGTCAGTCTCTCGTACATGCGTGGCTGCGACTGACAGACTTTGTATAGGAGTTCAAGAAAGTGGACGCCGAACGCATTGTTGAGATCATCGTACCGGGCACAAAATTGCACATCCACGGTACAGTATCGATTGTTGAGTGCCGCGCTACAGCATCGTTGTGCAGGCGGCCGCGGCCTCCCGACCGAAGTATCCACCAACACGCATAGCCTCGCGACGATGACCCACGACTGGGCATGGGTCCTCGGCCAGTTTGAGAAGATCGGCCTCGTGCTCTCTCAGCAGCTGAAGCACGAGACAAAACCCTTCTACACCAAGGAGATGGCGAGCAAGGCCAAGGTCCAGCGCCTTGAGTATGACATGCACGAGCTCGAGAAGCAGCTCGCACACATTCGATGTGTCATCCGCGACGTCGTCGCGGGCCCCGCCAAGTACAGCATTGACGAAGACGACTGCGATACGCTGCGCATGATGGTGCGTGATATGCAGCCCAAGAAGGTGGCGTTGGCACCGGCGCCCACCAAGGTCCCGTACCTTGCGCTCTTGCAGCAAGGCTTGATGCTGCTCAAGCACCACGTGCACAGCGGTGAGCCCCAGTGGCGGCTCGTTTGGACCACGGAGAAGCTCCTACACGTTGCCAAGCTAGCGGATCGCAAGAAAGCCAACGGTACACTTTTGATGAAGTCAATTTCCTGACGACGTACGTAGAGTTTCCACTGGCGACGCTACAGCGCGTCACGACGGGCGAGATGACGCCGGCCCTCGAGCGCAAAGGTAGTGCGAAAGACGCGGCAAAGTACGTGGCCCTCTTCTTCAAGGACGTCGACGCACCGCTGAGCTTCGAGTGCCAATCCGAAGAAGTGAGCGCGTGGGTGGCCGCCGCACTTCAGAGCCTCGTCCTGTAGCATCCTCAACTGTCCATAGACGACCAATTAACATTCAATGCATTTTTCGTGCTGCATTCTGCCCGTTTCAATGCGCATTAAGCCTCGCTACGACTGTAGTAGCTGTATTGGCACCCACTAACTATACGCTCAGTGTACATCCCAGTAGTTGAAACTCGCACCGACGGCGAGTACGTGGTGAAAGCTCAAGGCACGACTTGCAGGAAGGCACGAGATGGCTATGTTCCCATCTTTAGCCATCGAGACCGAGAGGCTCGAATGAATTCATCAAGGCGAACCAATAATGTCTACAGGACAGGGATGAAGAGGTGCCGCCTCGGGGGACCGCTGTACACCACATATCTTCGTGGCACCAAGAAGCTTCATGACCTGGTGGTACCCATGCTAGAAAGTCAGATATGCTCTGAAAGGTATTTTGCTCGCAACGAGCTCGTTATTGCGCAGGAGAGGCTGGACGAGTACCCGTCCTGGGGCGGACAGAAGTGTGCGCGTGGCAAGAGTGTACTCGAACCAACCCGAGGCGGACCATTTTGCGGATGGTGAGCATGAGTCTGCGGTTGGCACACATATCTCCAACGTCCCACACGACGGAACCCAGACAAGACAGGCGTTTGTAGCATCATTGGCACTTACGCACAACCAGACTAATTTTTACGAGAGCATAGCAAACACTTGCTGCTCGTCCGCCGAGAGGCTCGCCCACGCCGCTTGCACGGCCGGTCCCGGCACCGACGTCTACACCGCGCTATAACATCTGTTGCGATCGCGGAGGGTACTACTACCTGCAGCGACTGCAAGAGCAGCGCGAGACGCTCTTCTCCTTCGTCATCGAGGACGGGTTCGGCGTCTTCGTCCATGTTGAGCGCTACAGAAACAACGTTCATAGGCTTCGAGACGCGTTTCATTTTCTACCAAGGATGGCGGCAAACTTTTGGAGCACAACGCCGAGCTGGCTGTAGTTGTCGCCGAGCAAATCCATGTTGCGCGCCTCGACCATCGTGAGGAGGTCGGCGTGCACAACCTGGGCTTCGAGCACGTCCGACTGCAGCGGGAGGCAGTGCAGCCAGAGGCGCAACAGCGTCGGCGCGTCGACGAGGCTCGACCGGAAGAGGCAAAATTTGCCGACCGCCGAAACGCAGTTGTCGCGGGCAGCTGCCTGTTCTGTCTCGACCTGGTCGTGCTCGAGCGACTGGATGCAGCTCCAGACGCGCTGGAGGGTCGCGACACAGTGCGGCTCAAAGCTGGGGCCACCAAACTGCGCGCAGACGCCGGCGCCGTAGGCCGAGGCCCGAATCACGTTCGGGTTGCTGTCTTCCAAGCCCTACGCCCGCACCGTCCGTCTTTGCTAGTGTATGGAAAGCAAACGACGTACGCTCCAGAGGTGCGGCAAGAGCTGCGGAAGCAACTCGGGGCCGCTGTGCTCGAGCACATCGTCGATGGTGCAGATAAAGTGGGCGCGGACGGCACCGGGAAAGGACGGATCCAGATACGGCGCGATGGACGGGAGCCACTGCTGCGAGAAGAGCGGGAGGACACCCGACTTGTGCGTCTTGATGCACCAGCCCATGGCATCAATCAGGTTTTGCAGAATCGAATCCTACGTCGCACCATCAACATTGCGGCGACGCATGTATCCTGCGCGTCTACCTCGACGTCCTCTTCGTTCTCGTCGTCTTCGTCAGCGTCGTCGGCGTCGGCGCCGCCATAGTCGCGCGCCATGCGACGCTTCACACTGGCATGCGCCGCCGTCAAGAGCTTGGAGACGACCTACGCAGCGCTAAGAAACCGCGACGTTTCGTGGACGCCGGGTACGTGAGGAAGGTCTGTGATCGGAATGCCGACGCTGTAGCCGTTGTCGCTGGCCTCCTTGCACGCTTCGAGCATGAGGGCGATGGCCTCCGTGAGACCGGCGACGCACTCCAAGTCTTTCTCTTCCTCGAGCGTCTAATCACTCGTCGTACCAATCTGTC